AGCACCAGTCTAGATGTGATTCTCCGGAAAATAAAGCCTTTCAAGTAGGAATAAGAGATCCTCCGGAAAAGGCTTTATTTTCTGGAGAATCACGTCTAGACTGGTGCTTTTCTCCGGCTTATCTCCAAGCCGGAAAAAAGCGGCAGCCATGTTAATGCAAATACCGCAGGGGATATTTAAATCCCCCGCGGATTTGCCTATTCCAAAGTGCTACATTAGCATCCCTTTTCCGAAAGGGAGGCCAGTGTAGACACAGCCCACAGGTTTAGTACATTAAGTCTCCAAGATTAACTAGGCACTAAGAAGGGCTGCCTATAGTCTATGGGCAATTAATTTTCTCCTAGAAGCAACAGCTCTAAGGGACTCCATGCCAATAGAAGAGTATTGTACCATGGCAGACTTCAAAGGTGTGTGGTCTTTGTTAGGGGACATTTACAAAGTCCTTCCCCATTTCCTCTCCATGCGGACCCTGACACTATATAAGCACAGCAGAGCTGCACAGTGCAAGACACCAAAGATGTAGGCACTGACTTTTGGTTTTGCTGGTGGATGGTTTTGAAGAGGTGTGAGTGGTTAGGGAGGTACTGTACTCTGCCAGTGCTGAGGGGAAACTATTTGCAGTATATTTATACACTGCTGTATCTTTACTATTTTAATAGTGATTCAGTTGTTCTGAACTACATAATTACATTATCATGAACTACAGTACATTAAAATCATTGCACTCACCTACAAGTTGTCTTCACTAACATTATAGTTTAAAGATATTATGTCTCACTGAAGTTTCTGGATGAAACTGTCAGCAAATCTTATTTACATCTTGGCTCCCTGGTATTATTTTGATGCACGTTAAAGGCACCTACATTATTCAGCTGAGTTTATCCCATTGATGACTGGAGAGAATTTTTAGGTCTTCCAAAGATGGAAAATGATAGAGGTACAGTGAGAAGGATTCTTATGCATTTGCAGTACTCTGGAAACATAGTATTTACAGAGTACTGCAAATGATTCCAAGCCCTCTTTCTTGATGGGTAACTGCTAATTTAGGCACCGTCGTTTTGTGTGTATAGTTGGGTTTATATTATGCCACTTGCATTAACATTGCATTTCATCTTCTTGTTGCCAAGACAGCCAGTTTTGTGAAATCCCTTTGTAATTCATCCCTGTCTGTTTTGGACTAAACTATCTTGAGTAATTTTGTATCAACTGCAAACTTTGCTACCTCCCTTTTGACCCCTTTTTTTCAGATCAGTTATGAACATGTTGCACAGCACGGGTCCTAGACTAGTACAAGCCCCCTCTAGGGACACCGGTATTTACTTCTCTACATTCTGAAAATGGGCCATTTATGCCTACCCTTTGTTTTCTATATTTTAACTAGAGAGCTTGGGAAATCTTTCTGGATTGTCTAATGAGCATTAACTTAATGGCAAGCCTTAAACACCTACCTCTGTTTTCAAACAAACTCTTTGCCCTAAGTGCACATGCTGTTAGCAGCACAAAACTCATCACATTTCGCACTGAAGCTCTAGCTTGTGGGTGCTGATCACCCTCTATTCCCCTCCCCCACCCATGGGTGCACCAGCCC